AAACCGGTGAATATTTTTCGGTGAAATTTGGTAGATATTCGTTTTCGCTCTTTCTGAACCAAGCGACATCACTTTCATGCCAATTCATAAACTTTTTTGAAGGTGGGAGGGTCCCTTTAACCACACGGTCCGTTATACCGACCGCCGAAGTGTGCCTCTTGTTGTTACTCGTGCCATGTTGACCTGCACGGCTGACCTCTGCGGTCGCTGTGCTGACCGCAGGGCACTGTCGAAGTGATTAGCGAGTATTGAGACCGTGGTGAGGTGGCGGCGCATAGCACGAGGCCCAAACTTGTGGTTAAAACTTAAAGTTTACATTTGTTGGTCTGACTAGCTGACTCGCTGTGTGTGTCTGCATCGCTGCTTACTTGCCTACACATTGCCCAGCGCAGTAGCGCGACAATGGATTAATTGGCTCTCCGCTCACCGTGACAATCTGGAACCTTAACGAGCGCCTTTTAATCCGTCTGGCATTAGACGTCAACGTCCTTTAGCGGCGACTGGCATCCCGCGCTGGATGTTGGCGGATGAATGCTGTTGGTTTTAGTGAAAACGTCGAATCACATTTTTGCTGTTCATTCGAAGGATTTTGCAGACACATGACCAGTTGTTAGCAAATTGTGGATATGACGGCCGAGCGCAGAGAAACCCTTTCCTGTCTCAGTGTATTGGCATTTGATTGCCTAACGACTCTTGCCACCTTCGTGCCTGCGATTTTGAAACTCAGTGTCCAGTTGAGGCGTCCTTTCCGATCCTCCCAGGCTCAGCACGACCTACCCAAGGTCTTCGGAAGGAGAAACGCCAACCGGTGTGACTTTTTCACGGCTGCTCCCGGCTTCTTCCGGGCTGGCGCAAAGACCAGTCGTGAGGTTCGAGCGTTCTCATGGTTTGTCTCATGTGTGCGTCTCCGATCTATAATGCACTCACTTTGATGTGACTATGTTGCAGGCACTTTAGAAAATCAGTCATTTTGTAAAATGCCTAAAGACGGCTGTTTGAAAAATGACTGAACGCAACCAGGCTTTTTTCAAAATGGCTAGCCATTTTACAAAATGACTAGGCATTTTGCAAAATGCCTGACCAACATGGAACGTAGATCTCACTACAGATACTATGGCCAACAGTTTTTGGACGCCTTCCTATACCCTATAGGTACCTACGTGTTCAGCCTGTAGCTGATCGATTTGAAGCTCTGTGATGACGACAATGCTGAGTAACGACCAGGTTGAGTTGCAGACTCGGCTGTAGCATAAAGCATTGTGTGGCTTAAGCCCAGTGTGGACCACCCCTCCCCTCCTCAGTTGACTGGACAGCGCTCATTGGCTCTAACGAACTTCAACAAGCCTACCCTAGGCTGGTCCACGCAATTGTTTACAGTATTATTGTTTAAGTTTTCTTCCTAACTTTTCTTTGGAATAAAAAAGCTCTCTGATCACAATGAATATTAAAGCAATAATTAGCAAAACACGATTTATTTTGTTCTGTGGCAACAGCTTTGAGTACCTACTTGCATGGTCCCAGTTAAAAATACGAGTATCAAGCTCCACATCGGGAGAATCATCAGGTCGCTTGGCGTAGGACGAGAGCGTTGGTTTCAGAAGACACTAACGCCTAAGTGTGTGGGATCGAATCCTCGCGACCTCTAATAGTTTTACAGATACAGGCCGGCATAGGGCGTTTGTTGACGGTCCAGATCGATCATTTTAAATCCAGCAGCGTCGCTGACGTGGGGGTTGGAAATGTCGCAGGCCTGCACTTCTCAAAATAGAGGTAGGTATGGACTTCCCACTGCTGGACTCCTCTGGTCATAATGCTGGACTCCTCGGTCCACCTACACGCTACCAAAACGTATATAATTAGGTACTCGTATCTACAACACGCTGCTCAGTCATTTTGTAAAATGGCTAGGTATTTTGTAAAATACCTAGGCATTTTGCAAAATGACTGGAGAATCAGTCATTTTGTAAAATGCCTAGGCTTTTTGTAAAAAGCCTGGAAAATCAGGCATTTTGCAAAATGCCTAGGCATTTTACAAAATGACTGATTTTCTAAAGTGCCTGCAACAACTATACCTCTGCTGCCCGTCTGCTCGGAACTGTGCGGCACGACGAATGGCACTACCCAGCACCGTTGACCGGTACTACCTACTGCCCGGCACCACCACCGTTCTGCGGTGACAATGAACGCTGGGACATCCCGCCCCGCCCGGCCCTCCCCTCCCTCCAGCCGGATGTGGCCGCTGTCCGGCTCGGACATACCACCGGTCAGTGTCGAGTGTCGACCATCCAGCCAGTCAGCCAATCTACATACGGGAAATAGCACCGGCGCCGCGCGCCGCGCCTGGCCGGGGCGAGATTCCGGTGTCGAGTCTCAAACAAGTCAATGACCCGGCTAATTATAATCACTCGACTCGACCCCGGAGCAGTGAATGCGTCTCGAGCCGGCTGAGGGGCGCCGGGTCATCGTGATGTGATCGGGCACCCTCCCAGCGACGAGCAGAGTCGTGGAGCCGAGCACAGATCACTGGAGCGAATCGACAGCTGGCGGCGAAAAAGGGGCATGCCGCTCCGCACCGTCAGCCATTCCTGGTACCGGCACGCGCAAGAACGCCTCCCGGCATGTCTGATAGCGGGGCGATTGGCGGCGGGCGATGGGCGGCGGGCGAAGTGAACCGATCAGAAATGCCGCGGCGGAGCTCACTCGATTTTGGATAATGCCCTCTGACCTCTGTTGACCTCGATGACCTCTTCCAAACGGCTAATGGGTCTTAATTATGGGTCACAACAAGGTGTCCGTGCTTCATCCCGCCGGGTGGCCGATATCTCAGCTCGTTCTGTTGGTAAATGTCTGTTGATTAACAGATACTTTTGGCATGCTCTTTAGCCCGGACGATGAGTCAGAGTCTTCTTCAGTGGTGAGCTTACGGTAATGACTCACGGCGAGTCACGAAAATCTCACGATCACGATGGGCTCACAGAGTCTCACGGTGGTCACTTCTCACGGGTTCACGACAGCCAAACCGCACCGTGACCCGTGATATTGATGAGGACGAGGCGAAAAATAAGTCGAAGACTGACATTGCACCATGCCGTGAGCCAGTGACTGGTGAGATTAGGAAGAAGGGCCTCTCGCTCGCTCGTTCCCACTATGCTCTCACATAATGCAATGCATCGCCTATTGTATTTCCTCAGGGCCAGTTCGCCTGCCATTTATACGACCATTTATCTAATAGCGTGCACTACGCCCACTGAATGGCCATCGCTGAGGCCAAATCTATGCCGCATTAGGCAAACCCACAGTGCATGCAAATGACAGGAACACCGAACCGACGACGGGCCATATTTGTGTTAACGACGCGGCTGCAGCCTTGGCTGAGACGCTGTCCATCCCCAGTCGTCCGCCATTCCCTCTTTCCGTGTCGTCCGCTCCCGCATCCCACTCGGACTGAGTATCGTGCAGAATATGATGTCATCCGCCGTTCAGATGGGCCGTTCACGACTCACGTGACCCCTGGCATTGGACACTGGCTGGAGGACGAAAGTGGACACAATAGAGTGGTGGATACGAACAATGGACGAGGAGATACGGCGCAGCGGACATGAGGGACGACGGACAGGATGCCCGGGAGTTGCACCGGCCACCGCTATTGGGACGCAGTCATTTCGTTGGAAGTGTTTTTAAGAATGTAATCAGACTTGGATAAAATTATTCGTCATTTTATAATAACTGCAGCTAAGAGGTTGCATTTCTGCGCTTGTTTTGCACGCTTCGCAACTTTGGTGTTAAATTGAGAGACGTCTGGACAGCGCCAGGAATGCAGCTATGGCGAAACCGGCACATTTGTGACTAGCCTAGCGCTGCTGTGACCAGTGTGGCGCAGCTGTGACTAACCCGGCGCGCTGCGTCGAGTTGGGCGCGCGTCACGGACGAGCTCAGTTCACGGCGCGTGCCGTAACGGTGCCGACACGGCCGTGCAAAAACGCACCGGGCGTGATCGGCTCCGCCACCGCGCTCAGGAGCCAGTGGATGCGACGGCGCCGCACCGGGGCCGCCTCCAGGGGCCTCCGAGCAGGGAGGGGAGGTCACGGCTTGACCGGCCAAATGAGCGGCTGCACGAAACGACACCACTTTTGTCGAATGACACGGCGAGGCCGGACGTCGGAATGATTCTGTCCTTCGGCGCGACTAACCGCCGCCTTTAGCCGACTGATGGCGAAACAATTGCTCTCCGGAGCAGCGCCCGTATTAATTAGAACGGGAGCCGGCAGGGGGTGGGTGAGGGGGGCAGAGACTCTGCTCCTGATGGTCGAGCAGCGAAACAAAATATGAATGCTGCGGGTGGCACCGCTTGTGTTGCAAAAATAGCTAGACAACTATCATGTCATTATAGTAGGTAATCACTAGACACTAATCCATGATATTATACGCCATACTTACTGACAGGCAATTGCCAGTTGCCACTCAAACACCTAACCCTTGTCAATTCTCAGCTCTGTACATTCTAAATGTTGTAGCACCAAGGACCCTCTATCGCGTATTTTCTTTGGCTGCAATGCTCGAACACTGTTTAGTGTTGATTTCTTCGTTTTTCCGTGTCCATCAAAATTTAGGTATGCTACATATTGATGGCGTCCAGAAACATTTATGCTACCAGCACTCCGATACCATTCTCTATCGCCACCAGTTAAATCACCTTTATACCAATGACCATTTATTTTCTTCTGGTCACCAGTTACCACTGTGGCACCGCTATATCACCGATAGGTCACCACTGAACCACTATTATGTCACGGTCGGGTCACTGCTGTATTTATGCCACGGCCGGCCGTGAGAGCTCCGTTCCGTGGCGGCCGAAAGTGAGACCACCCCGGACAATTTCACTTTTTCAGGAGTCGCGTTCCACACGAGACTGCGACAACAATGAGCGCGTGTCATTCGAAGCGCCACGTGTGACCCGTTCCGTGCGTCGTATCTGACCAAACTCTTTCTCTCTGTTTCAGATGACGGTAACTGCTCCTCTCTGTCGGCTGCAGAAGCGCCTGGTGCGTGATCGGCGGCGACAATTCGTGATATCATTCGGTCAGCTCCGGATCGGGTCAGGTCGGGTCAGCTCCAACCTGTCTGCGCTGGGAAGGACAGAGTGGTGGCTGGGTCGGTGGGAGTCGGCTGGATGGGGTAGGGCGCCGCGCTGAGGCCTGCGCTGACGCCGTGTCGAGTCGCTGTGTGACCGACCTTGTGGTGACCGGCCGGCGTGACCTTACCGTGGGAGGTAACCGTGCCACTGGGAGCTGAACGGTGGAGATCGCCGCTGGACTGGACCGCCGACCGGCCGAGCCTCGCTGCAGCGGCTCGCCAGGTCACACAGCTCGGCATCGACCCCCAGTCCCAGTCTCACAGCCCCTGTCCCAGTACCCAGTCCCACAGCCCCTGTCCCAGGCCCAGTCCCAGTCCCAGTCCCGAAGGTCTCAGTCCCCGCTCAGCTCTGAAGTCTGGGCACGTGACCCAGCCCCGTTCCCGGGGACACTTGAGGGCTCGTCCGGCGCGTGCGGGCTCAGAACCCCGGCGCGGGCCGCGGGCTCAGAAGGTCTTTCGTTGTGCTTATCGCGCGGCCGTGCGCCGCGGGTGATACGTACGCCGTTTTGCGTTGTTCCCACAGTGGATGTGTATACGATAAACCTGCCCGGAACTATCGTATGTGAGCGATGGGATGACATTTACTCTTCCGTAGAGTTTTGTGGGTTGTGTAGAGAGGTGACGCGCTGCCATCGACCAGATGACAACGTGGTCAGACTACATACAATGGCGCGACGGAGACGAACACTGCGCTGGAGACGCTCAGCTAGAACACGGTCACAGGCGAATCGTGTGTAGTCCAATGTCCAGCCGTGGGAAAAGCGAGGGTCAATCATCAGCGAAATGTTTGTGATGTGATGTGTCGTATCACTCGAGTGTTTCTCCTTTCGTGTTGCCTCACTCGAGCGTGACCTGGGATTATGTTTCACGTGTGTGCGTGTGTGCGAGGTAATTCACTGTACTCGTGTTATGATTCGGATATGCATGTGCGATTGTGCGAAATATATGCTCGAGAAACATTGGTCGGCTTCTATTCCTTATAAACGTTGACTTTGGCTGTCCTTGAACATATACGGAATTACATGGCAGTTGTGCATACCGATCTATTCCCGAAAATTTTATGTACATATACAATCAACTTTGTGTTTTTCAGTGCGGGGGATACGAATTTATTACCTGTTACGAAGATGATAAACTCAGGTGGTAAACGTCAAGTTGACCTTAAAAGGTCAACTTGACGTTTTCGCCTATTGCAGCCATTTTATAACACAGGAACTACCGGGGGGATCGAGACGAAAACAGCACCAGTCGATCCTCCTCGCAAGGCCGGTAAAGTAGGTTAGGGCCACAAAAAAATCACCGTATGCAATTTCATCAGCCGCTTGGAATATGGTGACCTAAGGTGACCTCGCTGGTGACCTTGGGAGGTCACATAACCATTTTCGCCTATTGCAGCCATTCTACCTATAGCTTAGGAACTACTGGGCCGATCGAGACGAAAACACCACCAGTCGATTCACGCATGCGATTTTATCAGAGTTTTCGAACATGGCGAGTGACGACCTCAGTTGACCGTGGTGACCTTGAGAGGTCACATGAACGCTTTCGCCTATTGCAGCCATTCTATAACTTAGGAACTATCGGGCCGATCGAGACGAAAACACCACCAGTCGGTTCAACGCATGCGATTTCATCAGCCGTTTTGAATATGGTGACTTCAGTCCTCAAGTGACCTCAGTGACCTTCGAAGGCGAAAGCATAGGCAAAACGACTATGTGACCTCCCAAGGTCACCGAGGTCATCTGAGGTCACGTCACCATGTAGGTATTCGAAAAAGCTGAAAGCTGATGAAATTGCATACGGCGAATCTACTGGTGCTGTTTTCGTCTCGATCGACCGTAGTTCCTGAGTTATAGAATGGCTGCAATACGCGAACATTTCATGTTGACCTTTTGAGCCGAGGTTACCGTCCGAGGTCACCTGAGGTCACTATATTCGAAACGGCTGATGAAATCGCATGCAGTACGGTATATCGACTGGTAGTGTTTTCGTCTCGATCAGCCCAGTAGTTCCTGAGTTATAGAATGGCTGCAATGGCGAAAACGATTATGTGACCTCCCAAGGTCACCGAGGTCACCTGAGGTCGCCATATTCGAAACGGCTGATGAAATCACATGCGGCGAATCGACACAATAGTTCCTGAGTTTATCTGGCTGCAATATGCGAAAACGTCAAGTTGACCTTTGAAGGTCACTGAGATGACTTGAGGTCACTATATTCCAAACGGCTGAAAAAATCACATATGGCAAATCGACCAGTAGTGTTTTTGTCTCGATCAGCTCAGCAGTTCTTGAGTTATAGAATGGCAACAAGGGTGGCAGTCGAGTAGTGTTGGGGAGTGTCTAAAAAGCAGACGAGATTAGCAGACGAGCCCATGCTCAATTCTAATGGTGAAGGTTTCATCGAAATCGGTCCAGTAGTTTCGGAGCATGGGCTCGTCTGCAACAGATTTTAGAGGTTTGGGACCGATTTGGACCACTTAGGGTGGACCAATAAAAAATTATCAAAAAACGGCACCGTTTCAGATCACGGCGCGTCTAAAGGCCTGGCTACACTATGCGTTTTTTTCGTGCGTTTTTTGCGTGTTTGCGTGTTTTGCGTGATATCGTTCTAGAAAAAAGAACGATATTACGTTTTTGTGATGTTTTTCACCTTAAATTTTAGTTACATAAGAGTTATATTAGCTTTTGTATATAACCAAAGTAAACATTATATTGTTTATAACTTTTTTTCCTAGAACGATATAACGCAAAACACGCAAACCTGCAAAAACGCACGCAGAAAACGCATAGTGTAGCCAGGCCTTAATGGTGAAGGTTTTATCTATGTTTTAGGGCCTTGGTTTTATCGAAATCGGTCCAGTAGTTTCGGAGCATGGGCTCGTCTGCAACAGATTTTAGCGGTTTTGGACCGATTTGGACCACTTAGGGTGGACCAATAAAAAATTATCAAAAACGGCACCGTTTCAGACCACGGTGCGTCTAATGGTGAAAATCGGTCCAGTAGTTTCGGAGCATGGGCTCGTCTGCAACAGATTTTAGGGGTTTTGGACCGATTTGGACCACTTAGGGTGGACCAATCAAATAATCATCACAATCGGCACCGTTTCAGACCACGGCGCGTCTAATGGTGAAGGTTTCATCGAAATTGGTCCAGTAGTTTCGGAGCATGGGCTCGTCTGCAGCTGATTTTAGGGGTTTTAGACCGATTTGGACCACTTAGGGTGGACCAATCAAAAAATTATCATAAACGGCACCGTTTCAGACCACGGCGCGTCTAATGGTGAAGGTTTCATCGAAATCGGTTCAGTAGTTTCGGAGCATGGGCTCGTCTGCTTTTAAGGGGGTGTATGGTTCTGGACCATTTTGGTCCGATTGGTCCAGTCAGAGTGAACCAATCGCCAAAAAACGAAAAACGCACCTATATAAGTTCCCTGCTATTGAATGGTGAAAGAATCATCAAAATCGGTCCAGTAGTTACTGAGCATGGGCTCGTCTGCTAATCTCGTCTGCTTTTTAGTAGTGTTGTCCGTGTCTGCGTGTTGTCTTCATTCAGCTCACTGAACTCTAATGTGGAATGCGCATCGGCCGCCAGATCAGTCCCACGCACAAGGGGGAAAAGCTCAAAAAATTGAGCGCTCAAAAAATTGAGCGGGCCCCATTATGGACGACGGTGAAAACAGGGCGCCTGGGGCGATTTGATCAAGGTTCGTGATATTCACACGTGATATTTAGCATCTTGAAGGCCCTTGGAGGGGGGAGAAGCTCCAAATGTCACGTGACTAATATGCCCTCCGGCGCCCTGTTTTCACCGGCGTCCCCCATTATGAAGGAATAGGCGAAACGATGGTATTTTACAACGCCTCTAGCGTCACACTACGGCAAATATCGTATCCAAATAAGGTATCAATGGCAAGAGAGAGCAACAAGGTTTCTTCTCGAACACTCGCCGTGATAATTTATATCGGTGTTTTTGGAAAGATAATGCCCTAAAGACGCTCAACTTTTTGAGCGCCACTTGTCGTTCGGGACCGCGATACTCAATAAATTGAGCGCCACGACAGACGACAGTCAGCTGGCGCTCAAAAAATTGAGTGCCGGCCAGCATCTACACTCAATTTATTGAGCCTTCTCCGTGACAGGTGAAGCCGGTACTGGCTGCCATTTTTGATGTTATGTTCGTTGAAATACGTTAAACTGAGTTGAAACAGAAATGCAGGAAGTTGAATGCTACGTGTGGTACCTAAACTTTTCACAAACCCATGGCATCATGTCACATTTTCCGCTAGTAGTTTTATCGGTCGCCTTTCGGATTCGGCACACCTCAAATAATTATACAGGACTTGAATAATCCATATGAATACTGTATTGATATTTTCTGACTGTACTGGGAGAAGGGAATACGTGATTACAGAAAGATATCCACCCACGCTTGAATATTGGAGAATTATACAGGAAAAACTGTATTGCCACGGTTACAACTTACAAGGCCATCGGCCGCAAACAAACAAAAGTACTATACAATGTGGGTTAGATTCACAAACATCATCAAGTGTGGAACACAGAGACGAGCAAAACAACATCACATTATCGCTTGCCAGCCCGACCACATTGGAACCGGGTGACCTGCGACCGGAACCTGCGTCTTGCCAGCATACATCACAAAAGCAGGAGGCAGTGTCGTACTGCTTTGATCCAAAATATGCCATATAACAAATGATATAAACGACCTAAGCTCGAACTAAGCTTATCATTATCAAATCCTTAACATGTAAAAGACGAATGGAAACATCGAGTCTCAGACCAGCAGTAGCAACCATCAGAGTAGCAACATCACAAAGAACACGCGGCATTATCAGACAGCCGTTTTGTTATCGGGCTACAGGCGGCGACGGCGTGGTTGCAGACCAGCTGCGAGGTAGCGGCGTGCGGGCAAAAGGCGCGGGCACACCTCCATGTGGCCGTGCGGACAGTGCGCGGTCGGCGTCGCATAGTGGGCGGCATCGGGCTATCCCGGGGCCGTCGAAGCCGCACAGGTTGTCGGCGCATGTGGGCGCGCGCGGTCACCACGGCCAGCTGCTCACCACCAGCACAGACTGCGCAGCGTCGCCGCTCCGCCGGCCAGAACACGCAGACAACCCTTCTTGCAGTCGCACAACACGTCGCCAAACTCATTCACCTGCTCCACTATGTTGTTGATGTCACCGAGTCGTTCAAGTTGTGGCTCGTGCCGTCGAGCATGACCTGCCCGATCGGACACGGGTCAGCAGCTTCTGCTCCAGCGAAGTCTTCATCTTGGTGACGTCTTGCTGAACTCCACAAAGGCTGAGCAGATGACCTTACCCACAGGGACGGCCGACGTCCTCGCCAGCGACCGCTTGGTTGTGCAGACCTGCCAGAAAAAGAAAAGCTGTTTGGTGATCTCAAACGATTTTTTTTCTTTATGCAGTGGAACAAAATGGAAAATATGTCATACAACAGGAACTAAAAAAAGATGCAGCCTAGGTCATCTAAGAAATGGGTGAAACATTGATAAAATTCTTCCTTGAATGAATCCTGCAAATGCTTTTGATAAAATGTGTGGTGATTATAAGGAGACCACTTTACTATAAAATTGCTCAGAATTCCCTATCTGGACCTGTCAAAAAATCCTGACTGCACACCAACAATGAGCATTAAATCCGAAACCTCTACCAGGTACCTAGGGATAATTAAATTCTGATTCAGGAAAATATTTCACATCATACAAATAAAAACCTTTACTATATTGAAACTGAAAATGTGATGCCGATCCAGTGACCTAAGGGTCTCAAAGTATAATAATGAATTAATCTATTATAAATTTGGTGGTGACTGACGACTGGCGTCTGGCAGCCTAGACCTTGAGGCTTGAAAGTGGCCTTCCTTTTCCGTTGACTCCGATCCTCCAGATGGAAATGATATAAAGGATCATTTTTATCTTA